AAAAAAAAAAAAAAGGGAAACAGTTCACTGTGACCGCGCGACCCGGTATTCTGGAAGAGAACGTGAGTCCTGAATAGAGGTTTTGAACACGCAGGGGCACGGAGGATAGGATGGAGAGGACCTGGCTCATCAGTGCTTCTTCTGACATTCCCCGGGGGTTACGTTACTAAAAATTCAGCACGAGTTAACCGTGGGGTGCAGCAATAGCAATAAACAATAAACAGCAATAACGAAACAAAAGCAGCTACGATTTCTGACCTGTCTGTTGTGTGCCAGGCGCGTTCTCTGAATGACTTCGTTTTAACTTTTGCAAGGTGTGTATTTTCCTTCTTCCCCAGCAAACGGACTGAGGATCTGATGGACGAGGTTGTCGTCCAGCCGCACAGCCCGTAAACGGCCGTCCGTAATGTGTCACCTGGGAGGAAGGTGGTCCTCTGTGCTCAGGGAGCGCTCGCTTCAGTTCTGGGCCCTGGGCTTCAGGGGGCTGGGGGCTGGCTGTACTGAGGGCAGTGAGAAAGGGGTTTGCTGGCCAAGGGGTCTGAGCAGAAGCCGTGGAGACAGATGGTCGAGGGCATCCGGGTCGCCGTGCCTTGGACGTACTCTATCGTCTGGGGGTCGGGGTGGGGGGCCGAAGAGTCGTCTGTCATCTACTTGCCCTGGAGTCACGCTTCAGTCTGGTTCGAGATCAATTTTCGACTCTCCCCGAGGTGCACCCGGGAGAGGATTCTTTCCCCTGGAAACGAATGGGCCTTTGTATGAACGCACAGACTCAGTCGGTACAGCCGCAGCAAAAAGGGAGCTGCCAGCGCGGCGTCGAAGCTCCCAGGCCCGGTGAGGAGGGAAGCAGAGAAGTCGGAGCCCCTCGCCGCCGCCCACGGGGCCGGGCAGTGAGCCCCGGACTGCGAGGACGGGGAACGCATCCCCGACGGGCCTGCTCCCCAGGGACCCAGCCCGCCGCCTCCTGCAGGGACACCTTCATACGTTCGGAGATCACGTCCACGCGTGTCCCGGGGCTCGCTGGCTGTCGGGCGCGGCACCCAGACGCTGCGGATCCTGTCCAGTGACACGGGTGGAAACCTGTCGTGCGTCTGTGTTTTCAGACATCCCGGGTGGGCCGAAGCCAGAATCGAACGCATCGTATCGCACTGCCTCCTGCAGACTTGGGTTGAGTTAGGAGACCGCGCACGGTCAAGGGAGAGGGTTCGTTCCACCCGAGGATGAGGGCCTCCTCGGCACTGTCCCTCGAGGAAGGGGACATCCGCGTGGGCAGCGTTAGGCCGTGACGAAGGAAGCTGCCGTGAACACTCAAGTACAGGTTTTTTCTGTGTGCCCGGGAGCTTTCCCTTGTCTGTGAGAAGCGCCCCGGGCCCGTGCCGGCTCCCAGGGGAGTCCCACACTTGTGTCGGTTTTTGAGAAGTTGCCACGCTGTCTTCCAGAGTGACCGCACCAGCGGTGTGTGAGTGATCCGGTTTTTCCGCATCCTTGCCAGCCTGTGGTGTGGATACTGTTTTTTACGTTAGCCACTCTCTAGCTGTGCGGGGCTGGCTCACTGCGGTTCGAATCTCTTTTTCCCGAATGGCTCATGGCATTCAACATCTTTTCATGTGCTTCTTGGCCATCGGTATATCCTTTTTGGTGAAGTGATCTGGCTTAAAAATTTTTTTTAATGTTTATTTTTTGAGAGAGAGAGAGAGAGAGAGAGAGAGAGAGAGAGAGATGGAGCACGGTCAGGGAGGAGAAGAGAGAGAGGGGACACAGACTCCGAAGCAGGCTCCAGGCTCTG